AACAATTAAACAGCGGGTGGCCACAGGTCACGAATACACCAATCAAATTGAAGCAAAGTGACCTTCCATGCTTGCTGGTTAGCGCGTTTTTTAGTTACTGTCATAAACACCATTCAGAATTGACGCAGTTTCCCTGATCTGTGTAGTTTAATTTCAACAAGTCTTATTTTGCAAATTATGGCCGAAAAGTCAGTAAAGAAATGCCATCTGTGGACGTATGCGCAGGGATTTGATATAATAGATATCTGGAGGGAACCAGAAATCGCCAAAAAATTTGAAGATAAATTGTATCGTCAGAAGGCTGGTGTCCACAAAAGGATAACAGAGAGAATGCGGGACTTAGTTAGGCCACAATAGCATAACATCAGCAATTGTTGTGACAAAGTTGAAAAATCTAAGAGCAGACCACAAGGCTGTGAGAGACGTTTTTATTCGTGGGACAGGCAAGGGGTCGGCCAATGTAATCAGGGATGACCCGAAATCGGCATGCCCACACTACCACGCGCTAAACGAAATACTTGGGGGAAAACCCAGTGTAAACCCTTCAGCTGGACTCCTCGGGCCAGTCTAATCAACCGCCGAGACCTAGGCCATAAACATCGAACGCGATTAGTGGATTAGTGCCAATTAACTTGGCAAGTAGATCAGCTACTTCATCTGGCTATAATCCCATATGAACCTAGCTAGTCTTGTTTTCGAGGCAATTCTACTAGGCCTAGTTGGTTCAATATCAACCAAAGCATCTTTAAAATTACCTTTTTGGTGATCCGCTTCTCGAGCGGATCACCTCTTGTTATTGTCAGAGATCTTACAACTTTTTTTTTAATTCTACCTTTCCTTCCATTTCTGTTCGCACGATATCTCAAAAAATGCCACGAGTTACGCACAATCGCTGTCAACGAACATTTTCCTTGGTCTCGAATAGTCATGGTAAGCTTTTCAACGCGCTCAGTCATGCGTGACGTCATCTACGCGCAATTTTGCGTTTTTACATTATCGATCATATCAGCCTAACCAATTGCCATTTCAAAATCGTATTAAGTGAGCATTAACTTCTCGTTAATGTTGAATGTATTGTACCTTAATTTTACGCGTACGCTTCAGTACGTGCGCATACGCGTGCGTCAAATTTTTAAAATGCTCAAAATCACTTTTTGACTAAATTAGAGCACGTTTCAGGCCATTTTGAGCATTTCAAAATTTTTTGAAATTTTCCACTACGCGCGCATTTTTACGCACGCAGCACGTACGGAAGCTAGACATTATGGTTTTTCACATAGTTCGGGTTCCTGACATTGTTTTCACAAATTTCCATTCTTTTCGGTCATCTTATGGCCAATAGCAATGCCGTATGTGCGCATCAAATATAGGTATCTTTGCGTGGATTTGTGCTGATATATAGTGAAAATATGCTAAAATCAGGCCTATTTTTAATCAGTTATAGCTCCTTAGGAGGAAAGGTGACCCCCAATTTTTATTTCATATTCTGAAAGCACATAAGTTGTAAATATGATTTTATAGATCATAATGGCTGATCTGACATTGTGACGTCATCATATTGGCATCTGAGTTCAAAGAAAGTAAATTTTAGCTATGACGTCATTTTTGAAAATGCGCAATTGAGCGTATCTTGCTTATCCTTGATCGATCTTCTTTCAGCTTTGAGCATGTTATAGCTGAGACAATTCTCTTTCATATATTTGACTTCTTTTTACATTTTTATGACGTCATCATGGTCAAAAAAATTGTTTTTTCTGACCCCCTACATCTTTCTTTCCTCAAAACGTTGATGAGCCCATATCATCTTAACCATTCGTCATTTCTGAATCATATTAAGTGAGCATAATCTTCAGGTCAAGGTTGAATGTCAGGTACTTTAATTTTCCGTTTGCGCCCCTAATAACGTGCACGTACGTGTGCGTCAACAATTATGTATACTTAAAATTATGCCTACTTTTAATCAGTTATACTCATAGCTCCTTAGGATGAAAGGTAACCCCTAATTTTTATTACATATTCTGAAAGCACATGAATTGTAGATATGATTTTATAGATCATTATTGCTGATCGGACATTGTGACGTCATCATATTGCTATCTAATTTTAAAAAAACTGAAATTTTATTTATGACGTCATTATTTTTCAACTTATTTGAACGTATCTTGCTTATTCTTGATCGATTGTCTTCCACCTGTGAGTATGTTATAGCTGAGACAATTCTCTTTCAGAAATGTACCTTTATTTTTCATTTTGATGATGTCATCATGGTAAAAAGAATGCTTTTTTGGAACCTTCTCATCTTTCTTTCTTAAAAGAAGTAAGCAATTTTAAAATAGAGGGCGGCAGACTGTATTTCGACGCTATCAGACCGATAGTTCGTATACTGTAAAGGGAAAATTCGTGTGGCATTACCAACTTTAAAATAGAGGGCAGCAGACTGTATTTCGACGCTATCAGACCGATAGTTCGTATACTGTAAAGGGAAAATTCGTGTGGCATTACCAACCAACAGGGGTTTTAAATTAAACTTGACAAGTTTTAAATTCATGTGCCATTACCGTCCTCGGGCACGTCGTATAAGGTATTCGTACTTGTGCATTAAAATTTAAAAATTGTTAATATCACTTTTCAGATAATTTAAAGCACGTTTCAGGTCATTTTCAGTATTCCAAAACTTTCCATAATTTACGCGCTGTACGCTCATTTCCACGCCCACAGCACGTACTGAAGCTGGAAATTACGCTTCGGTTACATGTTTTGGGTATGTGACACTGTATTAATATCAGTACCGTGCTCACGGACGTTAAGACGTATATGTAGACGTATGTGTACACATTCGTAAGTCATTAAAATGCTTAAAATTACTCTTTTTAAAAAAATAGAGCATGTTTTAGCATATAATAATTTTCAATCAGCACCGCGCGTGCTTCGTGAGGGTCAAAGTACGGCGGATCACCAAACTCGTCCTCAGTGACGAGTTCAAATCTAGTTAACTTTATAATTATCAAAATAATCCAAATAAAACATTACAGGACAAATTTATATTATTACTGTTCGTTGTAAACTTCATATAAATATTCATGTCTTTTTTGGGGAAATCTACAAAATACCGTAGTAGTTTGTTTGCTGTGTCTAAAACGGCTGAACGAGATACGGTGAACACCGGGGAGATATTGTACATACATGATTTTAAAATTACAGCTAATACGGTAGCCTTATCTTTAGCCACTGCAATTTACACATTCTAGCAAGAAGAATTATGAACAACGTTCGTACCCGCATACTACATTTAGAGGCTAGGGTTATAGATGCTGCCGAAAAATCTCCTAAATGTTAATAGGTAGGCTTTGAGTAGGTGAGAAAAAAAAAACTTGGAGAGTTTTAATTCGCTTTTTTCGGAATGGTCTACCAAGTGAAGATGAAAACATTGGATTTTGACTTTTATTTGTCGATAGTTGGGATGGCCTGCTGCCTAATCAAATCAAAGCTGGCCTAGCCCAGGCAGGCCCTCGCCTAATGTAATTTCTGTTTTGTCGTCTTTTATTGAAACATCATCATGAGATCAATAGAAATAATTTTAATCTTCAACATTTGTATATCACTAAGATCTATAACTATCCGTTATAACTCTCATGTAGACATAAGAAAAAATTTGATGCGGCCTTGACTGGATTTCTTATTAACTTGCATCAGATAGGAGTGATCTTGAGAACTTGGCTTTACAGTGGAACATTTGCTGTGTGAATGTGTGTAATATAAATCTTTTTATCACTTAACTGTTATTGATTGTTTACACAGTGTAATTAAGAAGGTCACACACTGTGCAAAAAACACATCATGCAGTGACTACAAACTACAGTACCACATGTGTGCACATATCTATTGACGACACCCATTGAGTAGACTTACACTTTTTAATAAAGTACAGTTTTGTGTAGACACCCCAAAAATACTAGCTTACCCACTGAGGGCCCTCACCCAGTCAGGCTCCATCCAGCCATAAATCGCACTTAAATAGTTATAAATCACCTTATTTTGTAAGCTAGTTCCACCTCACCTAACTGCTGGTGGGTGAGGGGCGAAGACTGGGGGACCAGCTAGTCTGGTGGTAGCTACTGTGTGTGCGCTAAACTGTGAAGATCTCTAGGTCCCCAGTTCAATTACCATCGCTGCCGCTCCTTGTGTTTCAGCTAGAGGGCTGAAATACAAGTTACAATAGCGCACCGTCTTTCGGATGAGACATTTAAGGCGTTGGTCCCGTGTGCATTATGGCCCATGTGCAAATTAAAGAACGCACTACGCTCCAATCACCACCAGAAGGACCCCACTGGAAATAAGTCTCTTCTAGACTTTCATGGGCTATCCTTGGTGTTTACACCGAATAAATTCAATCCAACCATGACCCCCTCCCATTCCACAACACTCATCCTAAACACAAATTCAAAATGCTTATATATTTTCATTCAAAGATTTTAAAATTTTATACTAGGGAAAAATTGCACCGTGGGGAGGCTATGCTTTTACTGCATAGCATAAAAGGAGGAATAAATTCTAGTTTTTTTTATTGTACTACCATGGTAATACGAATGTAGTTAGTCCTTATATTTAACTATACCCAAGCTAAAACTTCTTAACAAAATATATTTTATTGTGCCTTCTTTTTATTCAGCATTTCTTGGCTAAAGTCTTCTATACCAACCCCAAGTTTTCAAATTGATTGCTACATTTCATTGGTATGTTTTGAAGTTTTATTAGTTTTTTTCAATATTTAGGCCTTTGGTTAATAGAACAGCAGGTCTATCGCATTGTACTCTCAACTGCTTAGAATTTCCACTTGATTGGTTCAATACTGTATCTGCCAACGCCTGTGAGTCAATAGAAGTGGGAGCATATCAGGGCGGATCTAGGTTCACATTTTTTTTTTAGGGGGGGGGGGGATGTCACACTTTTTCCACAAAACCACAAAAAGAAAAGGGGTCAGGGGAAATGAGCTTTCCCGACTTCTGGTGTGTCTTTTAATGATTATTAAGTTCTTCAAAATTCAAGGTTTCCCCTCTTGGGAACGGTCATGTAAACCTTCTCATTCTTATTACAGATATGCCTATTTATGTGTATAAAAAATGAGTAGTTGCATAGATGGCGAGAAATGAGTTTTCCTGACTTCTGAAGTGTCTTTTAAAGATTTCTAAGTTCTTCAAAATTCAAGGATTTCCCCTTTTGTAAACGGCCATGTCATTTTTTTTTCAATCATTTCAAGACTCTTAGATAGGAATGTAGGTAAGAATGGCCCCGGAAAAAATGGCCCCAGAAAAAATGGCCCCATATGACAGGTAGGTAAAAATGGCCCCAATGAAAAATTCGGTAATAGAAATGATATATATTTTTTTTAATCTTCA